TGAAAGGTCGGTCTTGGAAAGACAATGTCCATAGGCAAAAAGTTCCTTTTTCAAGAGTAACTGGCAAGGGCTTAATGCACCTTCCCACGATGTCATCCAATCAGAGTTCGTTACTAGGCAAACAGTCCTGTTGCACCACATGACTTCTTTCTCATACGCACCAGATGTTATTTGGGTTACGGTGGTTTATCAAAGAGTCACAACAATTCCCATCTATCTAATCACACAGAGTCCTTTCTCAGGCTCTCAGAATAACATTCTCTCGGCTCGCCTAGAAAACAACTTGTCAGCATAGCAAAGATACTTTATACAAAGAAACAAGATGGAACCTCTCTGGCTCATTTCATAATTAGAAAACCCATATGCCTTAAAAGATTTTAACTCAAAAACCCATCTCATCACAGTGCTCATCTCCGTTTTCAACCCACAGAGCTAGCATTTGTCCGAAGACAATCTTCTGTGGTCACATGGCCAGCGCAACTAGACACAGAACGCTGTTGCATACTTTTGAACTGTTAGGTTGGCGGGAGCTGGGACAAGTAATGGGGGTGTGGTGTTCGCCCTCGTGCCCCTTGCCTGACCGTTCAAACACAGAGCACACGAAGGTAAACTACTACTCCTTTTTTACCCCACTGCCACCAGTTGATCACTCAATCAACATTGCTCCTGGAAGGAGCATACTTTTGAACTGTTAGGTTGGCGGGAGCTGGGACAAGTAATGGGGGTGTGGTGTTCGCCCTCGTGCCCCTTGCCTGACCGTTCAAACACAGAGCACACGAAGGTAAACTACTACTCCTTTTTTACCCCACTGCCACCAGTTGATCACTCAATCAACATTGCTCCTGGAAGGATGAAGATGCAGGTCCAAACTTCTATGTCTTTTAAATAACATGTTTTTATTGATTACATATGTTATTATTAATCATAGGTAACTTCTATTGTCATCAATCACAACCTTCTATTTGTTATTACAATTCTTATAGCTTATCCACTGCTCCCTCCTCTGGAGCAGTGAATATGCCATTTCACTCTAATCACCTCAGATCTCCCAAATATCACTATCTCTCCACTCTCTCTCACTGACTCTCTGACTCTTACGGACTCATTCTCTGACTCTGCCTCTTTATTACCTTTCAGCTCCGACTCCTAGCAACATTAGCCTACAGCATGAATATTCATAACTACTTAACATAATAAGCATTTTGCATGCTTTTGAACAGCTAGGTTGGCGGGAGCTGGAACAAGCAATGGGGGCTCTGTCGCATGGATTCGATTTTACGACTGCAGGTCTTCTGACTTTGCAGCACAGAGGCTTCTGTGGTTTAATCCGCAGCACCAGTACATGTCCCTATTCTGCATCTATCTCAGATAAAACTTTGAAATGGACAGTGAGTAAGGCTATGATGCCTAATGTAATTGATGCTAGATACAACAATACACATCACTTTCCCACTGAAGAATCTACACAAGTCTTGTTGATGGCAGTGAAATTGTATGGGAAGTGTACAGCTTAATTTCAATGTCTCTTCATTGATTTTTGTAACTGCACCAGTTTTACTTCTCACCCTAATTCAGTTGGGATACTTTTCAATTTATCCCAGCTCAGACCAAGATTTTCTACTGATTCACACACATTCAATATGTTTTCTGCAGTTGTAGTGCCTTTCAAATTCTTCAGTGTACAGTATATTAACAGGGCACATTTTCTCCATTACTTTAACCATGCACTTTTAACAAATTGAACATCAGTGAATGGCCTATCACTCTCAAAAGTACATTTAACAGCTGTCCCTCACAGTTGACATGTTCTCCTCAAGGTGCTTTCTAAAACTAATTTACTGCAAAAACATTGATTTTTTTAAAGAGAGAATTTATCCCATTCATTCTCACCTTTCCTTGATATAGCTCAATATAACTCTTGTGACAGGATTCTAAGTACCTTTTAACATTTAGCTCCTTTAACGCTGAGACAGTTTCAAGACAAATCAGCCAAACTGCTTTATCCTTGTTTAAAATGGAAGTACTCAGTAATTCATTTGTCATTAAAGACTTGGTGCTCATCTGCAATTTTTCATTTCTTTGAAACAACTCTTTTGCAGACATCTTACAGTATTGTTAGCAGAGCAACAGTTGCGAAGTTTCAAGATCATCCTTGAATGAATAAAATAATTAGAAGTTTAGATTTAGGGGGTGAACTCTTCCCCTTCCCATCAAATCCACCCCACTTGGGCTTCTTTTAGCTGAAGATTTTCATTTTGGTTAAGGCAAAGAAGAAAAAAGACCTTACATTTCTTAGGAATATTGGGGCCATGTGCACAGTCTAGGAAGAATGTTTAAAAAATGGATTATGAATCTGACCAGCCAGATGGCAGGGTTGCAATCCTAAATATTAAATATTAAACAAAAACTACTATTAAGTTTATTTCTTAATACCTAAATATTAAATAAAAACTACTATTAAGTTTAT